GCCTGCATCCTGGCTGGTCCCTTTCCCAGGACTCCCAACCAGGCCTGGCCCCTGGAAACTGAGCACCTGTGCGCATCCCTCCCCTACCCCTATCCCCCCAGAGCACCTGCATGGATGGAGTATGGGGAGACAGGGTAGCCCAATGGGTCCATCCCCCAGCCCTGGCTCAGCAGGTCCTGGCTGGCCCAGATGTCTTGCTACCAGACTCCCCCCACCCCGTGTTCCATCCAGGAACAGCAGCGCCACACCCCTGCACTTCGGCACCTCCACCTCCGGCCACGGAGACGTGGGAGCACCGTCAGCCTGCGCTCAGTCTCAGCGGCTCCCAAAACACCCCACAGCCTAGGTCCCTGCAGACCACACACCCACCCGGAACACCCCCCAGGGCAGGAGACTGTCAGGCCCCGGGTGCTGCCCTGGGTAACAGGTGCTCTGTGCCCTGCCGTCGGACGGCAGCAGTCCCCAACCCAGGAGCACCCGTGGCCACCGCGGAGCCTGCCCGCAAGTGCCCCTGAGGCCTGACGCCCAGCCCGTGCCGGGTGCTGTGGGTAGATGCGCACACCCAGCCCGAGCCAGCGTGGCCAGGGGTCTGCCAGGGGCTCCCAAGTGGGAAAGATGTGGCTTCAAGTGGACATCACCGAAGGGAAACAGGCCTTAGCTCCCGGGGAGATCAGGAGCCGCCCAGGGCAGTTGGGAGCATGGCTGCAGCCCCCGCAGCTCCCGCAGCCTCCTTCAGGGCCCCGCTTGCCTGAGGCTTCCCAAGCCAGTAAACGCCCTGCCTCGCAGCCAGCTCGAGCTCCTGACTTGAAACTGCCATCGGGGGGACTCTGGGACAAGCCCTCTCTCGGGCCTTCATGTGTCACTGCCCCCCCAGCCTGTCTCCACAGACCCACCTGCTGCTGCTTCCGGTTACAGGGCGCCCGGGCCAGGCTCGCGCCCTCCCGCCGGCACGGGCTATGCACACGGCAGGTACCTGGGCTCTGGCCGTTAGATCTGGCCCCAAGTGCCCATCCCAAACTGTGCTGGAGGCAAAACTCTTCTGGGGCAGCAGACTCGGGGACACCCTTGGACTGTCCCCCAACACAGCCACGACCTCACCGCAGCCACTCAGCTGCCTCCTGCCATTTCAGGGATGGGCTCACTGGGGCTAAGGGAGGCCCCTGCACACAGGCACCCAGCAGTGAGGAGGAGGGCAGCGTCAAAGCCAGGCGCCGGGCCCTAGCCCGCATCTCTCCCGTGCCAGCCCACAGCGGGCTCACAGTCAAGGCTGCCTGGGCGAGTCTCGGGGGAGGATCGTGGGCCTGGCATCGTGACTCAGCTGATGAGCAGCGCGATAAACATGCCCATCTTCCCCACTGCCCCAACCTGCCCGCCGTGGCTTCCGCTCCTGCTGATGAGCGGACCCGGGCAGGCGGCCCAGTGCTGAGGTGTGTGCAGACAGCACCAGCCCCCACCCCCAGTCTGACCGTGCGCCGGCAGTGCTGAGCTCGACAGAACACTTCCTCCAAGCAGCCTGCCCTGACCTCCACCCCCAGGGGCCCGGGGCCACCCCCCAGGTGACCCCTAGGGCAGCTTGTGGTCCTCGATTCCCCAGAAGGAATAGTGGTGAAGTATCTGAGCCCAGGCCAAGTCCACCCCAGGCCGTCACCCGCCCGCAAGGCCGCCGGAGCCGTCCGAGGGGAGGAAGGCCTCAGCAGACGAGGGACTGAGGGACAGTGGCCACGACTTCCCCAAGCCACACAGCACCAGGGCCCGGCCCCCTCCTCTGGGGGAAGAACTTCTCAGACTTGTAAAGCTAGGGACTAAGGAGTGTCAGAATTGTCAAAAAAGGGAGAAGATGCCAGAAAGGGAAGAAGAGGGAGAAAGAGGAACACAGCTTCCTGCTTTCTGAGGAGGAAGTGGCAAGAAGGTGGGAGTCAGGTTTCCCAGAAATGTGTGGACTGTTGCCTAAGCAGCGGGAAAGCCCAGTGGGAGAGAGGCAGTCAGGACCTACCAGGGAAGGCCCCGCTGTCGTGCAAGCCAGGCTAGGGGCCCACCACCCACACCCTGGTGCACACACACGCGTGCGCACACACACACACACACGCTCACACAGAGCTCCTAGTGGGCCTGCAGCCCTCAGGTGAGTCACTGGGAAGAGGAGTTTTTCCCAGGGCTGAAGGCCAGAGCAGCAGTCTCTACATATAATTAACAGCCCACAGAGTCGTAAATGCCAGGAGGAGACCTTGCAGGGGTGCAGGGCAGGAGGTGCCACCTCTGGGATCCTCCGACGGGGCGGGTCCTCCGCCAGCCTCCCCTCTCCGACCAGAGGGTCCCGAGACCCGAGACTCTCCTCTGTGCTCTCCTCCTCCCAAGCTTGCCTTCAACACTTGTGGACTTGCAAGAACGCCTGGCTCCCCAAAACTGCCGGCATGACAGGCAGTGGGACACTTTCCAAAGGAAGCTTAGGCCTCCCGACTCCCACCTGAGCTGAGCCACCGCCTCCTCTGGTCCCCACGGCACGCAGGACAGGGGAGCTGGCCCAGTAGCCCGGGGAGGCTGGCATCTTCTGGGATGGACTCCCCGCCCAGGTCAGCTTCCTGAGGAGGGCAGAGCAGTAGCAGAGCAGTAACACCCGCAAGTAAAGCCAGCCCTTCAGGCCGCGGGGACTTGTATCCACCTGAGCTGGAAGGAGCAGTCGCCGAGGGACCCTAAGCTCGGGGTATGCCCTCTGTGGCCTCACCTCTACAGCCTGCACCCCAGTGTGCATCCTTGTGTTGCAGGAAACATATGTGCCTGCCCTCCTGCAGGCATCATGGTCCACTCAGAGGAAGGTTCCAGAAGGCACGCTCCCATCCCAAGCCCAGCCTCTGCTGGAACAGCCAAGAGGGAAATGACTCCATGCTGAATCGGTTCCAGAGGGCAGGTTCCTGGCGCCAAAAGCCCTCTTTCCACAGACTCTCTTAATCCCGTTCCTCTCTAGACACACTGGACAGGCCCTCAAGGGGGGCTTCCAGCCCAAGTCTCCAAAACTGGTTGCTGAAACGGAGGAGCTCAGGAAACAGTTCATTCTGTGAAACTACCAGGCTCTGGTGAAGACATCATCTCGTGACCAATCTCTTTGGTGCCCCCACCTCAGCGGCACTGGCCCTGGAGGGGGCCAGGAGCTTGGGGTGCCAGGGTACCCAAATCCCAGAATTGACTGACTGCCAGTGTCCCCACCGGCCAAGATGAAAGACAGCACGCGCAGGCTGTCAGGGCAGGCAGGAGGCCCCTCTGAACACGAGAACAGGGACACCCATCAGGCTAGTTCACATCAAGCCAAGGACGTGCGGGTCTTGGGTGCACACGCCCCACCCTGTCCTTGCGAGTCCATTGCTTCCTGACCCAGGGTTCCTGGGGGAGTTCTTGTCTGTCCCTCAGTGACCATCAGGTGTCCCCAGCCCATGCCCAGGAGGTTGCCAGCGTCCAAGTTCTGCCTCCAGGGGCTCTTCAGGTCAGTGTAGCCCAGCCAGACACCCCTGAATCCAAAACACACACGCCAAGGTTCTCCGGGATAAGCAGCAAGTACCCAACGTGACCCTGTAGGGTTCAGCCAGTCCCTACATTTTTCAGCTTTGTGGGGGAGACTTATCTGCTTATTCGGACCTATCCATTTATTTGGGGGACACACAGACACACACACACAGACACACACACACACACACACACGCTGGTTCCGCCATATCTGCCCATGGAAGGGAGGAGTCACCTCTACAGGCCTCACCAACAGTATGGGAGCAATGATGAATATAAAAGTTTGGGGTGAAGATCAGAAGGAAAGGTAGGCAAAGCCGTGAGCCCTCACTAGCAGACACTTGATGAAAGGTAACCCTAATTATACCGACAGCTCACTTTCCTCCGGTGCTTTCTTACCAAACACTTTCACGCCTTCGTTATGAAATGCAGAGGCAAGCGACACAATGAGGACAGGGAGAACAGGTGTGCCGCCCGCTCTGCAGAGGACAGCGAGACTTAGAAGTAAAGTGACTCACCGAGATTACCTGGGGAGCTAGAGGCTGAGCAGCGACTCGGGCCTAGGGCTCTGCTTAACCCAAAGTTGTCTCTGGGCTGCCCCACAGATCGGGCCACTGGAACCACGCACCCCATCCAACTAAAACTAGGGGAATAGGTGGAGACAGGACAGGGGCAGAAAAAGGGCCTTGCTAACGAGGACTGCCAGCGAGTCAGCTCCACGGGGTCCAGGCTGCCTGCGCCTGGCCGGTCGCCACACAGCCAGGGGGAAGAACTGGGAATAGAGGGTCACCAGGAGCTTCCCCAAGAGGTCATTAACATCTGTTCACAGTGGCTCCCCGGGAGGCCATGTGTTAGTCGAGGTACTACAGGGGAGACTGCACAGGCCCCCGCTGAGGGCCACGAAGGCCCGAGCCCCACACGTCCCAGACGGGGCACACGCCACTCACGGGCGGGCACTTCCTCAGAGCCGGACACGCCCGGGGGCGAAAGCGTTCCAACACATCAAACTCGCTTCTCGGTGCTGCTGGAGAGAGTCCCCACTACAAGCAAACTGAAAACTGCAACGCACGAGCAGGCCCGCGTCATCTTGGGCTGTTCTCAGACGGGGCGGGAGAGGAAAAGAAGTCAGAATTCAACATACAGCGGCCCGGGGACAAAGTGCTCTTCTGTGCTCCATAAACCCCGGCCGCACACTGGGGACCCGGCATCCAGAGATGCGAGAGTGCCCAGTATCCCTTTGATAGTAAAGGGAGGGCAATAAATACTTCAGAGTCCGGCCCGCAAGTCATGCTCCTTGCTCGCAGGGCGCTAGGAACTGTCAGCTCAGGGAGGACACCCGCACACGGCTGACCCCACTCCCAAGGGAGAGTCCAGAGTCCAAACTTCAGCTGCCCGAAGAAAGATGCCGCTATGAAACACTCTCCATCCGGCTTTGGCTTATTCTTTCCAGGGTCCTCGCCCTCCGCCCCTCCAATCTGGGTTAATGAGGTTTTCCTGGAACCCACCAGAGCCACAGGTAGACTTCGGCGGCTCCACCCTCCGCGTGGCGGGCGGCCAGGAGTGACATCACCCTGGCAGTTAGCACCTCCCCCGCCCCCACCCGCTCCGCCTGGCCGTGGGGAACTGTCTCTACTGGCCCCCATAATTAAGCCCAAAAGGGATTTTATGCCTTTCAAGAAAGAGAAGAGAAAAAGAGCGAAAACCAGAAAATAACTATTCCCAAACAAGCCACTTCTCTCGCATGGCCGGAACAAAAGACAGCGGGAAACACACACGCACAGAAGAAACCTTTTCAGACAAACCAGTTCTGTCTCCTGGGAGGGATCTGAGCACCTCCGCCCCGGGAGCCCAGCCTCGCCCATTCAAGGACAGGCGCCCAGGACTGTGCCCCACCTCACTGGTCCCCAGGGGGGCTCTGACCTGCTTCCCACTGAGGCCTAAGTGAACCCTGGGAGAGGGCCAGATCTCTGCAACTTGTAGACACCTTCCCCACAAACCACAGTCCTCTTCCCTTCAGCGAGGGGGTGGCAGAGGCTCTGTGCCGCTCTGTGCCCCCATTTGTAACCAAACATGGACACCCACTGTAAGAGGAAGCAGACAGGGCTGGGGAAGAGAACACACAGTCAACTTTATGAAGGAAACCTCAACTCCACGTCAGAGTCTGACCCCAAAGCTTAATGCTTTCAGTCTCAGCTCAGCCACCTCCTCCAGGAAGTCTTCCACTACCCGGTTCTAATAAGCCTTATACCCTCTCCCCTTCCTTTCCCAAGAGATTCAACTGCCTCAGGGGTTCTGTGTTTTCAAAATGTGTCAAAGTTTCTGGGAGCAAAAAAAATGCCTCATAACGCAGCCTCTTTCCCTACCCAGCTCACAGAAACCCCGGGAAACATGGCCCCCTGAGAATCTCAACTCCCATCTGCCTCCCTGACGTTCTGGAGTTGAGCTCATAGGAATGCCAGCCTCACCCCTGATCCCCCAAGGTGCCACTGCCACAGCTCCTCCCAAGGCCCCATCTTGGGGCTGCCAGGTGGGCCAGGGGCTTGGCCAAGCACCTCCTCCCTCTTCCCGAGTGTTAGCTCCAACTGCAGGCCCAATCTGCACCCCACAGAAGGCACAGCCCTGAAGGGTGGAAGAAGCCAGGTGCTTCCCTTCAGACCTGAAAGCCAAGCGTCCACGGGAGACCCGGCTCAAAAGCCCTATCTGTTCTGGGGGCCCCCCAGGTATGGCACCCCTCCAAACACATTCCAATTCATCAGTAATTTCAGGGGCATCAAGGACCCTCTCCGGAACCTCAAAATGCTTCTGAGCACAAGTCACCTGGCAGACAGGGCGGGCGACTCACGCATCAGCCTGGAAACCCCTGCCCGGAGCCAGACCCGACCCAGGAAAATTCCCCAAAGCTCTCAAGAGCGGGGGCTGCTCCTGTGATCCAGGGACCCGCTTGCAGAAAGGCGGCCTGCCCGAGCGCCCTCCCCGGATGCCACGGTCCCCGGGGTCCAGAGCCCCGGCCGGCCGGCTCCCTGCCCGGTCCACGTGCCTGCGGCCGGGCGCGCGGCGGCGCCCAGACGGGCCGGGACGGCCACTTCCGGAGGGACGGCCGCGCCCCCTCCAGCCGGGGCGCGCGCCCCGCCCCCCGGGGGACCCCGGGCTCCCGCGCCGGGCGGGGGCGGGGGTGGACGCGGGCCCCGGGCGCGCTCTGACACCTGGCAGCCGCCGGGTCCCGGCCCCCGTCAGGGCCGGCGCCGCGGGGCGGTGCCCGGAGAGGGTTACAGGGGCCGAGAACAAAGCGCCCCCGTTGGGGAAGGCGGGCTGGCGGGCGGCGCTGGACGCGAGATCACTTTCGGGGCCCCGGGATGCTCTTTGTCGGCCGGTCCCTCTCTGGAGGGGACCCAGCTCCCGCCAGCGGAGGGTCCCGGAGCCCTCCCCGGAGGCCCCCCCAGGCCGGGGCTCCACATGCTGCCCCCCTGCTCCGCTGGGCGGGCCGAGGGACCCGCCTTCCCTCCGCGCGGCTCAGCACAAAGCCGGGCCGGGGGAGGGGAAGGGCCGTCCCGAGTCCACTCGCGGGGAGGCCGCCGCGCCCCCGCCGCGCCCCGCTCCCGCGCGCGCCTCGGCGGGCGCACGGCCCCGGCTGCCCGAAGTCGGGGTCCTGCGGGCCCTCGGCCGGGGTTCGGGGCCGACCTCCCGGGACGTCCTGCCGCCAGCTCGCTCCGGGTCCCCGCCCGCAGCCCGGCCAAACCCAGGGCCCCTCCGCCCGCGACCCCGCGCAGCCCGGCCCCCGCTCCCCGAAAGCGCGCCCGCCACCTCCCGCGCTGGCGCGCTGCGCCCCGAGTCGCCTCCGCCGGAGGACCCGGCGCCCGCGCTTGGCGCGTCTGGTTTGAATTAGGGGCGGCGGGAGGCGCGCGGGCCGGGTCGCTCCTCCCGGGCCGGCGGGGGTCGGGCCCGCGTGACCCGGGGGAGGCCGGCGGAGAGACCCGGCGGCCGGCGGCGCCGCCTCGGCTTGGCGGGCCCCGCGCCCCTCTGCAGGCGGAGAACCGGGGCGGCGGGGCGGGTCCGCTCCGTGGGGCGCCCCGGTCCCCCACCAGGAGCGGCGAGCCCCGCGCGGCGCCCGCCGACGGCGGAGGCGATCCGGACCCAGCCCGGCGTCGGGGCCGCGGTCCCCGGGTCCCGCGGGTCAGCGCGGGAAGGAGGCGAGTCCCGCTTCCCCTCCCCCTCCACGTGCCGCCGCCAGCCCCGCGGCCCGGCCGGCCCCCGCGCCCCGCGCCCCGCGCCCCGCGCCCCGCGCCCCGCGCCCCGGCGGGGCCGCACTCACCGCGAGGGCCGGCGGCGGGCGCAGCGCCAGCGCGCACAGGCAGAGCCAGAGCGCCGCGCGCCCCATGCTGCCCGGACCGGCGCGGGCGCGGACTGCGCGGGGTCCCGGCGGCTCCGCGGGGAGGCTGCGCGCCCTCGGGCGAGGCCCCGGCGCGGCTGTCCGGGGGCCGCGGGGTGCGCCGGCTGCGGTCCGCTCTCTGCCGCGGGATCCTCGCGGCCCGGCCCGCTCCGCGCCCGCCGAGCTCCGCCTTAGAATAAACCCACAGGCCCTAGCCGTGGCGAGAACTAGCCCCCCACCCCCACCTCGCCGGGTCTTGGGGCCAGATTCAGGCCACACCCCCGCGGACCCGCCCCCAAAGCCGCAGCCCGGCCCCCGGAACGCCCCGCCCCAGCCCCGCCCCCGGGGCGCCCGGGCAGAGCCGCGCGGGGCCGAGAGGTGGTTCCCGCGGGCGGCCGCTGCAGACGTGGGCGCCGGGAGGGGGGGGCGAGGCACCCCCCGGTCCCCGGCCCCGGGCCCCGAGGGGCGGTCTGGCAGAGGGGCGCGAGGGAGGCCGCGGACCTCGCCGGCGGGCCCCGGTCTGCAGCGCCCTCTGGGCGTGAGCACGGAGCGCCCTCCAGGTGCGTTACTCTCCCAGATGCTGGTGGGAACACTTTCTGGGGTTCTGCTGGAGCCCCGCGTTGATCTTAAGCCGACGGCTCCCTTCGCTGGTTCGCCTTGTGGGGCCGCTGCCCCTGCAGAGGTTCCCGCAGCTGCGCGTCCGCGAGCTCCCCTCGGGGTGCTGGAAACTGCTGGGTGGGAGCTCGGGACCTCGCTTTGCACAGCTGGACGCTCTCGGGAGGGGCGGGGAAAGAGAGTTTTCTGCAACTTTCTGTAGAGAACAATGCCCTCTCTCTTCATCCTTTGAGCTAAAAGGAAACAAACCCTTTGCTCCTGGGTGACCGCCAGTCTGCAGCTCTGAGAAGCGCCCCTGGAGTCGCTGCGCCCTCGCCATCCCCATCAAGCGCCTCCGTGGAGAAGGCTGGGGAAGGCCTGCAAGGACAGCGCACCGTCTTCGGAGAAAATGGGACGAACCCCGGGCCCTGCCTGCAGCCTGGGAGGCAGGAGAGACGGTTCCAGTGACCTTGTACCAGGCCCTGGAGACCGTCCTCCCGGGCGGAGGACAAGGCGGGCCCCAGCTGGCCTGACACGGGAACCGAGAAGTTCTCCTGGGCCTTCTAGGCCTCTCAGTCTCCAGCATTTCTCTTTATACAGACTGAACATTCTGGGTCCTGGGTTACACAGGCAGGGCTGGGCTCCCCAACCAGCCAGCAGTTTGCACGGAGGGAGCCCCCTCCTCCAGCAGAGCCCTAAGATGATCCCACCCCAAACAGCATTCAGCCCTGCCTTGGCCCCAGCTCCTAGTTGCAGGGACTCAGGCAACTAACTCTCCTTCTGGGGTCCATTTCCCCAAGTCTGTCTGTGGGGGATGACAGCTCCTCATCAGGGTGCTCCAGGTCTCTGAATGCCTTGGTTTTGGGGATCATCCAGCAGGGTAGCACCACAGAAGTTGAAGGCAGGGCCTTCGGGGAGTCCTGTGGGTTAAAAGGTAGGTTAGCCAGCCAAGAACGTGTGTCCCAGATGCTAGTGTGTCCCAAATTTGTGCTGAAGTGAACTTTTTTTTTCTTTTCTTTTCTTTTTAAGATTTATTTATTCATGCATATAAGAGCTGGGTACAGGCCAGAGGTGCAGGGGGTGGGGGTGAGAGGATTCACCAGAGACAGAGTGGGGAGCAGAACAGGCAGACTGACCAAAATACACTGCTGAGGGGAGCAGCGGGCAAGTCAGGAGGGGTCTGCCGTGCCATGTGGTGCTCCCTGGCCAGGGATCGAACTCCTGCTGCAGAGGCTGCCAATAGCTTCTAGCTTCATCATGCTAAGATTTAACCCTTTGCGCCACCAGGGAGGCACCCCATTGTTGGGGGTGGGTGGGAGCGGGAGGGTACATGCCCTGACCTCTGAGGTCTCTAGGGAAGCCCATCACCCACGCCTGCTGTCAGCTGTGTGACATGAAGAACTCAAAGGCAGTGAATTTTTGTTTTTTCAAAGCAGCTGATGTGTTTGTTCTCACAGAGACTGAGAAGCTGGAATTGCGTGTGGTCTGTTCTCGCTTGCTCAGGGAGTGACTGGCTGTTGCCGTGCACTGACTGGCTTTGCATCCGGCACTCTCTCCGCCTCCCCAGGTCACCCACCCATTTCTAACTTATAGTTCCCTTGCCTTCCGTGATTGGTAGAATGTCAGCAGGGAAAGAGTATAGATCCTCTGTAAATATCACTGAAATTTACACATCCAAATCAGGTCCCAACTTCGCCAAAGAAGTTCCCTGGGGACACAGCGCTTACCACCCAATGCGGCCAGGGAGGCCAAGGGACCCCGTCCAGGATCAGCTTTTAGGGGTGGGGGAAGGTGGAGCATAATTCGCTCATTTATATCGGGTCCAGAGCTTCGGCGTGACCAGCTCCAGGACACCGTTCCCGTGACCCCTCGGAGCTGTGCTGGGGAACGCTGTCCCTAGGAATCCCATGCCTGACTGTGCCCCTGGGGTGGCCAGTGGGCAGTGTGACAGCAGCGCAGTGCCTCCTGGGCCCCGGCCCCGGCTGGAGGCTGCAGATACCAAGTGAAAATATCAGGCTCTTGTGTTTGAGGAGGTCACAGTTTTTGGGGAGAAACAGATATAAACAATCATTGTGAAAGAAAGACGCACATGCCATGCCGGCCTGTGCACCGGAGGCAAGAGCTGCTTCAGAAGGCAGAGAACAGGTTCCTTAAGGTTTCCCAGACGTGGGTGGACTGGGAGCGAGCGCGAGGAAGGAAGCGCCATCCGGACCTGTCTTTATATGATGAAAGAGGATTTTAGAAGAGTATTAGTTTCCTGGGGCTGCTCTAAGGCAGTCCTATAAATTTGTGCCTTAAAATAATGCACAGCTGCTCTCTCACACCCTGGAAGGCAGAAGTCCTGAAGCCGTTTCACTGGCTGGGTCAACATGGAGCTGTCAGCAGGCCCAGTCTCTCGCGGAGGCTCGTCTCCTGCTCCAGCTGCCGAGGGCTTCCGGCTCTCCCTGGCTTGTGGCTGTGTCACTCGGGTCTGCAAGGTCGGCCTCTTCAAATCCCTCTCTGCTCTGTCGCTGTCTTCGCTTGGTTTCCACCTCCGTGAGCCGTCATCTTCCCTTCGCCTCCGTCCTGTAGGGACGCCGGTCAGCCTGTGACCCAGGATGCCGTCCCCAGCTTCAATGTTTAACTTAATCACCTGCCAATCTGCACATACGCCCCCACCCATCCCCTGTTTTTGTTTTTTTGCAGTGTTAGGTAACATCACAGGCTATTCCGGGGACCATTATTCAACCTACCACAGTGCATTTCCATGAGCAAAGGGCCATTCCAGGTGGGGGAGCCAGCAAAGAGCAGGCAAGGAAACAAAGTTTCTGAAAGTTCAGGAACTGGAAGCATCTGCAGCGGCCTGGACGTGCTGGGCACAGACCCCTGGCTAGGTCAGATGGAGATGCCTGCCTAGCCTTGGGCCGCAACTGTTAGGGGGGAAAAGGCTGTCCTAGAGCTGACTCCATACGGGCTTTGTGGACTCCACCCCCAGCCCAGGCCAAAGCCAAAGACACTGGGG